ATAACTAATCTTGAATTTTTACATGGCAACATTTACAACTCATTATACTATCTACAATATACAACCTACATATTTGAATAACCAACTCGCAAATCAATCAAAATTATTTGCAATAGTCATATTATAGCAATGTGGTCCTCTCAACACCGAATAGAAAATATCATCATACTAGCAACACAAATTGACTAGAATGCTACCTGGCTCTATCTTAATAACAACCACAAAAAATTATCTTTTTATACTAACTTCAAACTCTATCAAGAAAAAACCTTTAAAATTTAACTTATTGTCACGGTGCTACACAGTATCTATGTGACTAGTGATCAGGTATGTGTTGATCAGCGATCTAATTAATGCATAATATATTGGGTGATCACGATTTAATTAAAAGTCTAAAGTAGTGATTGCATGAACAATGTAGTAATCAGTAGTGATTAGTATTGCATAAACAATGTAGTAATCAGTAGCGATTAGTATTGCATAAACAATATAGTAATCAAATATGTATTAGTAATAATATATAAGGCATCAATCCAAATAGAAGAAGTGCCTAACTTTCGTTCTTATTATCTCTTTGAGTTATTCTTAGTGAATAAACTGTTATCTGTGTGAGTATATTATCAGTGGTAGTATCTGATATGATATACTAGTCATCGTTTAATTGCCAAGTGAGTGAAGATTGATAGTAATGACTAATGAATACACAGTAGTTTGGGTAACTACGTGACATAATGGGCCTAGACAGACAAAGGTTTACTTGCAAAAACTTATTAAAGTTCGTCGCATTTTGCCAAGTGCAAAAGCTAAAAAGATTGTATAGTCATAATTGGTAAATTTAAGCCTTTGTGGCAAATTGACGTTGTTTAACGAAATTGGTATTAAAAATAGATCGTGAAAACTTAGTAACATTGGTGAAAAACATTGTGGAAACAGTGATTAAAGAGGTTGTATGAAACCTGAAAACAATTCAAGAGAAATGGCAAAAGCGTTAGTCATGTCTCTGTTATGTTTGTCACTATAAAGGGTACTTGGCTCATTCGTGTCTATTCCAAAAGGATCAGATTCATGGTCAACATTTGAATAATAAGTGAATGGATATATATCGTGTAGATGTTAGTGAAAAAAGAAATTTTGAATATCAAAAATTTAGTGTAAAAGTAAAGGTTAAGAACAATAATGATGCGGTGGAAAAGTTGGTAAAAATAAATAGAGAATCTGTGAAAATGTCGATTAGGCTTAGTTCGTCTTTGAATTTAATAAACTTGAACTATGTGAAAAGGAAAGGGCTAACCTGAAGATGTTTGAACAAGGAATCAAGCATTGGTGGTATAAATAATGTCATTGGATGTGTTTCTTGCGCTGATGTTGTTGTGTGTGGTGTTGGTAGGCTTGATATAGAAATTGGATTATATAGTATGATTGAGTATATTGAGTCTAATTGATTAGCATGAAGAT